ACCCTCTCTTTCAAAATAGTTTTTGAAAAAGTTCCTATGACGTTTCGACGCTCGCATTTTGTTAAATGTTGCGTTTTTCGGTAAACCGAGCAAAGGATAAAGTGGAAATGAATGAAAGAGAGATAAACTCTTTTGAAGAATCTTTCAAAAGACCTTGTTTAGGGGTTTGGAGGTGAAGAAAAGAGGAGGGGAAGGAAGAAAACAAGTTGGAGAAGAAGTTCGGCATGAATCTCGGTAGGATCGAAACTTAGCAGTTTTCACTCAAAGTGGCATAACTTTTTTCACAATTGAAATTTTGAAGTAAGGTTTCCACCATTGGAAAGAAGACTTCCAGGGCTACAATTTAGGCTCAAGAATGACTTGAAAAGGAGTCCAGATGAAGGAGTTATGTCTGGTTGAAGTTGGGCCCAAAAAATAGATTTTTCTGTCCAACTAGAGGTGGAAGATGCTGGCCATAAATGGGATTTTTTGGCCATGTGCCGGCCATGAATGGCCAATGCCGCCCCCCTTCCATCCAAGAGTGTCCCATGCCGACCAACAATGAGCATGTGCCAGCCATTGATGCCAGAAAGCAGTTTTTGGCAGATATTTTTGCTCCAGCTGTTCTAGCTGTCTCTCTTGAGATATTTTCAACCCAAGGCTCTCTTTTTGCTATATATGGGGGCCATATCTATTGTTTTGAAAGGTTGGAACAATTTGGCAAAGGTTTGGGAGCCTCTCTCTCTACACCTCTCTCTTTACATTTCTCTTTCTCTTGAGCATTTGTGCTTGAAGGCTTGCATACAACCATCTTTAACCTATCAACCGTAAAGAAGAGTGGTTCATCTTTGGGCTGCTAAAGGTTGGTTTTGGCTCAAGAAAAGTGGTTGTTCTTGTGCTATGCTTCAAGGGTGAGCATCTCCCTCTTTTAAGCTTATTTTTGTACACAATCTAGGCCACCTTTGCATGTTGATTTTGGCCTGGTTGTCAACTACAAAAACTTCTATTTTTAAGTGTTTAAAATGATGGTTTGAGGCCTCGTTGAAGCTAAGGGTGGTCCACCCTCCTTTGTTGCTTATTTGTTAAGTGTTGAGCCATCTTTTAAAGCATTTCAAACAACCTTTTTTGGGCCCTTTAACCACTGAATTCCAGAGGAATTTCAGTGGTAGAAAACTTGTTTTGAGGTCCCAAATGGGAGGGGGTGGCCTCCCCTCCTTGTCTCTCCATGCTATGCCTAGTTAGCCTTGCAAAGTAACATGTTTTTTTGTGACTTGTCTTAGCTTAGTTTGAGCATGTTTTTGGCTATATTTTAATATGTTTAAACTCTGTTTTTGGTTGGTTTAGCCACTCATTGCTTGCATCTTGCACTTGTAATGTAAACTTGCTCACTAGCCTAGTGTACTTGATGGTTTAGCCTATGAATCTAGCATGTGTATGCTCCATTCCAGCATGTTTTTTGCTCTAATTTAGCATGCTTTAGGACTGTTTTGAGCGGTCTTGGCCTTTTGAGCCTTGTATTGTATAGTTATAGTGCAAATGCCTTCACTAGTCCATTGCTTCGAGGCCTCTAGCATGCTTAGCTTGTGATGTTTGCATGCCATAGCATCATTTAGCATGTAATTTTAGAGCATATACCTCTGTCACACTCTCACATATATCACTCTTTCATTACTTTTGAGAGTTGTGTTTTGCTGCCTTATTTGTGAGCCAATAAGTGAGCATACTTTTCTTGCCTTTTGTGCTTCAATTCCAGCATGTTTAGGCCACTGTTTTGGCATGATGTAGCTCTGTTTTGAGCTGGTTTGGTCATTTGAGCATTATATTGCATGCCTCTAGTGTTGTGTCCTTCACTAGCCTTAATGCTTTTGGCTCTTAACATGTTGTGCATGAGTTGTTTGCATGTTATAATCTTATTTTCTCATGCCAAGATAAGCATGTTGCATTTTCATTACATTGTGTTCAATCGGACGTCATATTGAACACAAGGTGAATTGGTCCATTTCATACTCAAAGTGATGAAAATGGGCCAATTCCCTTTGTCTCTGTTGCCTTTGATCATCCATGATGAGGTAGTGGATTTAGAGTCTTGTTTGCATTGCATTCATTGAATTTGTGCAAGTTGGACCCTTGGCCATCATGCATTGAGATGCTTGATTAATGGTTTTGGATCCAATAGTGCCTCTTCCTTGATGTTTTGAAATAATATGGAGTGGCACAGTACACACATGCCCTAGGGAGACCCTTCATTTTCCTCTACTTTGTGCTCTGTTGCAGCTTGGTGTCACAGCACACCAGTGGCCGGCAGTGCCACATTGTTGGCCGGCAGAGGCCCATCCTTGGCTGGCAGGTGGCCGGCAACAGCTCCTCATGGTCGGCAGGCCACTGGTGCACTCCCCAGCCTTGATTTGGTAAGGTTTAGCAGAAAATTCTTGAGGACACCCTGCAAATAGAGCCTCTAAAGAGCAAACCGGAGAACTTTTCGGGGTGAGAAACCGAATGCGTGCATGCATCTTCAACATCTTTAACAAAGCTGGAGCAGTTTAATTTAGTGTTTTACTTATTAGTTAGCATTGAATTTGTAATTAATTAACTAATTTGTTAATTAGTTAAGTGATATAATAATTAGTAAGTAGATTGCTTATTATTCAATTTGGTTGTGTAATAATTAGTCTAATTAGATTATTAGATTAGTTGTTAGCTTAGCTTGGATTAGCTTAGCTTATTCGGACCCTCCGTCGAGAGGGCAAATATTGTAATAAGTGTGCGTGTGTGTGTGAATATCTTCCAACCTCACGTCTTTCTCCTTTTTATTTATCCGTTTTCAGTGGTTAGATTAGGGACATGTTTCGATTAGCATACCTTATGCTTGCATGCATGCATCATTCATTTGCCTTACATGCACCAGGCTCGGCGCATCATTCAAACTGCATTGTATTTTAATACCTATTTGAATACGTGTATCAAATGTTGCATTCATATGTCATGATTAGGTAGCCAAGCCTACTTAGTTACATTTTGCATGCGTTGCATTAGGCATCTTAACATAGCTAAGATCATGCATTGATTTCTAACTAGTTTTTTGTTTTGGCTTGGAGTACACTGTAAGTGTTTACACGTTAGCATACTGCATGAGTGTGAGTGATTTCCATATTTAGCATGCTTGCCATGAGACTATATGCTTAAATGATTAACTACATGAACGCCTATTGATGAAGGGCTTATTGCTTGAATTGGAACAATTCATCAAAATGTGCGTTTTAAGCCCACTTTGTGGAGTGGAAAAATCACGTTGTTTTAAAGCCCACTTGAGGGTGGCAAATCCGTACTTTAGCCTACTTGTGAGCAGTACTTTCAAACCATTTTCACAAATAAACAGGAGATGTTTTGTTCCAAATCGAGTGATTTAGTCTATACTTGTATGCTGTGCACATCACATAGTAAGTTAGCTAATAAATCAGAATAAGAACATATGTGTTTTCAAAAACAATATATCATGTTAGTAGAGGCTGATCTCTGATCGGGTGAGCGGGGGTGCTCATTTCAGGACCTTCCCCTCTCGTACCCAAGTTCCGGAGCCGAGGCAACTTTAGTGATAACGGACACGTGGCCTTAGGCACGAGTCAGGGTTTCCTAAATTTTTCAAAATAAAATATTTAGGTGGCAACTCTAAAATTTGGCAAAGCAGTCCATGTTTGGCGCTTTTTTATTAAAATCGATTTTTTAAAACGATTTATCGGATTTGGACTCTTTGGTGATTTATCAGTCTTATATTACACTTTGTGAGATTAGATTCAGAACCGTGACAGGAGTTCGAACTGTAGTAGCATGAACCCAAATCCGTGCCCTCTCCAAAAGGGGGGTGCACGGAGGAAGTTCGGGCGGTCTACAATAGGTTTGGATCCCTTCATTTACTAACATGACATTTTTTTTTTTACACTGATAAATTTATCGTTGTTCAAACTAACAAAAATCAGCAACTCTCTCTCTCTCTCTCTCTCTCTCTCTCTCTCTCACACACACACACACACACATACACACACACACATTCTTTTTTCCTAATTCAAGTAAACAAAACAATATAAAAAAGAATAAACAATTTACTAAAATTGAAAATTAAAACACAAACGCTATTACATTGTCCAAATTGAAAATTAAAACACTGTTGCAGCTCGTAAATATTTCCAAGTTTGGAAATGAATATAAGAACATGCCATTCTGAGTATATGGAGTGGAGATAAAATTCTAACAATAAACCCAAAAAAACAAACTGTACATACATTTTAACATTTAACTCCAAGAACTAGTTATTTATGAAGAAATATGATCTTATTCAAGACCTGATGATAAATTGTTGCATCTAAAGCATTTCCTAGACTGAAATTTTGAACAATTTAATCTGAAAATAAAGTGCAAACTCGAAATATTTTGCTTCAAGAATCCCACTGATAGTTAATTGCATAGTGACAGTAATGTAGCACAGATTGGGAAACTTAGTCCCAAACTACCTACAATTGATTTTTCTTGAGTTTAAGCTATTGATAAATTTATCACTGTAAAAAAGAACATTTTGTTGGATATGACAGTGATAAATTTATCAACCACTAACATAAATGTAATAAATAATCAACTCTTTCCATACAGTCAGTTATAAATTTATCATTCTTAAAAATAACAAAATTCAGCAACGCTATTAATGCTTGATTGTTTCCTTTAGACAATGGTAAATTTATCACTCTTAAAAATACATAATCCACCAACTCATTCAAACCAACCAGGGATAAGTTTATCACTGTATAAAACACCAAAAATAAAAACTATATTTAACCAAAATCAAAGAATATAAATCTGTGAAACTTAATCTTGTAAAAATATCAACAAAAAATATAATTTCCATGCAAAAAATTCCTCAATCATCCAATGCAACTACCGGAATGATGTATCTTTCAAAAAATACTCAAATATTCAATGAAAGTAACAGTTCTCAACTCTCAACAAAAGTAATTCAATTAAAATCAATACCACTAAAACAAAGCTTCTTTACATGTTTTCCGATTATAAGGTCTCATCTTTCCACACCTACTGCACCTAATTCTCTTGATCTCGCCTTTCGAAGGTATTCTCTCTGTTCTTGGATGTCCAACTGGTCTCTTACAAAGAGGAGGTAAAACACCGTCATCATCAAGAACTACATTTGGCTTCCACATACTAGAAACTAGATAGATATAATGCGAATAAGAATCACAATAACTACGACACATGGTAATAATCATCAAGAAAACAATTCAGATCCTTCTCACTCCTTTTTATAGAACAAAAACCATGTTTGCAAAGAAAAGAATCAATTTCTAACAATCGACAAGAACAAGACCGTTTCCCAATATCAACCATAACTGAATGATCCAATTGGATTTCATGAATATCATCGCTACATTTCTTACCTATCCATGTCTTTGTATCATTAAAAGCTTCTTCCAACTTTTTCTCTGCAAAAGGACAAACAATACGATTCCACTTATTTCCAACTTCTCTCATTTTTGAAAATTGCTCCATTAGTTTCACCCATATAGCATCAATAAGATTAGTTAAAAACAAATGGCGCTTATCCCTAATCCACGAATTAAAAGATTCCGCAGCATTTGTGCACATTTCACCATACCTCTTGCCTTGAAAATAAGCGTTACACCAACATTCATTAGGCAAATCCTCCAGAAACTTCTGAACACTACGACCACAACAACCCTTAAATTCTTCAAATAGCTCATTAAACAACTCAATAGTATGAGCATATGCACATTTACTAAAAAGAGTGAGTAAATACTCTTTAGATTCGCGACTCTTCACTGACAAATAAGTCTTCAAGTTTGTCTTCAAATGCATTAGACAAAAAGAATAAGAAGAAAATGAAAAGACCTCAGCTAAAGCTTTCAGCAAACCTCCATGCCGATCAGTAACAAACGCAATATCCTTTCCCGGAGTCAAAATAACAAATAACTTTGATAAGAACCAATGCCAATTGTCATAACGTTCACTATCAACAATGGCAAAATATAACGGATATAAACCTACAAACAAAATATATACACATTATTCGTAACAAATAAAAAAGATTACAAAACAAAAGCAAAACACAAAGTATATAACATATAGCACCAACCATAAATAACTTTATCACTGTATTACTACAACAATTCAATAGCAACATACAACATATAGAATCAATGCATAATAAATTTATCATTGTATAAATACAAAAATTTAACAAAAGTATATAGCATACAAAAGTATACAACATAAATTTATCACTAATTGATTGACAATACTCAATAATCAACACTCTCCAGTAACAAAAATGATAAAATTATCACTGTTTTAATAATAATAACAAATAGACACAGAATATACCTTAGTTACCGTCTTTTGTTGTAGCAGCCAATAAACAACCTTTGTGTCTTCCTTTCAATAAAGTTTTATCAAGCATCAACACAGGCCGGCAATACTTGAAACCATGAATACATGCCTCAAAAGCGAAAAACAAGTTTTTGAAATGTCTTCCTTTACTATCAATATCAAATTCCATATCAAAAACACTCCTCGGATTACAATCATTAGCGGCATCAACATACCAACGAAGATCGTCAAATGAAGATGAATAGTCACCAAAAACAATATCTCTTGTTTTTTCAACACTCATCTAAGCTCGCCGATAAGAAACTTATGTTCCATAATAGTCCTTGAAATCACAAACCACCTCACTAACCGATGTCAAAGCCTTATTACGAACCTCACTTGAAATTAGCCCACCAATCATACTCGAAGTCATCCTAGTATGTTTAATTGTACGAAAAAAAGATCCACACGTATGAATATCATCAAATTATTTAATAACAAAAGTTTTGCTAGAAGTTTCCACTCTAGCATGCAAACTCCATAAACATCCCAAATCAGTCATTCTCTTACAATGAATAGTAACACAATTCTTGTCATTCTTAACAAAATCAAAATCAAAATCGGAATGGATAGAATACTTTGACAACGTATCTCGAAATTCAACAACTCATTGAGCAAACCTTTGACCCACTCCTTTTATACAATTAATGCACTTATCAGAGAGCAAATGTTTTCGTTGATTTGAATAAAATAAAGGCAAAAAATCAGTTTCACAAACAACACTACTACTACTACCAGTTTCACCATCACAAATTATATAACCTTCATCCAAAGAACAACACTTAACAAAAATATCAATACGATGAATATCACAAGAAAGTGCGAGTCCAATCATAACCTCCAAATCCTCTTCACTTTGTAGACCATAACAAGAATGTCCAGGCATTGAATACGATATATTCAAAGAACTACTAACTAACTCACTCCACTTTGCACACAATTTATATACTAAATGCTTGAAATCAAATCCATCATTATACTTGATAACCAATGCCACACCTCTAAACTTGAACATAAGAAACAAAGAATTTTTCATCACTATAAATCCTGCAACAAACAAAAATTATATTTCAGCAAACAACTCAAACAACCTAAAACAAAATCTAATACAGTGATAAAATTATCAACCAATTCAAACACATCCAAAAACCAACAGTGATAAATTTAACAATCAACACCACCTAAGACCAAGAGCATGAACAGTGAATAAGACTTACACTTATTGGGCATGGTAACTCGATTTGAATCTTACTATTATATTATGCAACTTTTTCATCTCCTATTCCTATACTCACTGATAAATTTATCAGTGTTGAAAAAGTTAATCCAACAACACCCCCAAACTACTCAGTGATAAAATTATCACTGTAGAAAATTACAAACCAACACCTGTGTTCAACCAAAATAATTTTGTAACAAAAAAAAAAAAATCTAATATTCTTTACATATACATATCTCAAAACTTTTAATATCATAATCAAAATATAAATTCAATTGCAGAAACAACAGAATAACAACAATATCACAAACAAAATCAAAATCACAAACTCAAACTCAAACTAAAAAACATCTAAACATCAAAATTAAAATCAAAATCAAATATACCAGTCAAGCTCCCTCCACAAAATCGCAAATTACAAAATCTAACTATACACCAAATGCGAAATCACAAAACACGAAAATTCACAAATTTATAAAAAGCAAATCACAAATCGAGCTCCCTTCATGAGATCGCAAATCGCAAAATCCAAATATACACCAAGCGCGAAATCACAAATCACGAAGCTCCACAATAATACATTAACAAATCGCAAAGTTCCATAGAAATCCAAATCACAAACCCAAACCCAAACTCACATCACAGTATTTTAATGGCAAAAATCAAATAGAAGCGCGCCAAAATAGGAAAAAACAAAACAGGAATAAAACAAGTACAAAAAAAAAAAACTGCAAGACGTATTAATGCACAACATCAATATTCAGAACTAAGAAAGAAATAACTCTAAAAAGTAAAACTGGCCAGTAAAAATCCCTAACTTTCATCGCCCAAACTTTCTACGACACTGCAAAGGAAAAAAAAAAAAGAAAAGAAAAAAGGCACATTTTCCAGCATTTTATATATCTTAGTAAAAGTATAAAATAAAAAATATCTTTTTAGAAATGTAGGTATAAACAGGGTCGCCAAGATTTATGGCAGTTGTAAACTTTGAGGTGGTTTAGAAAGTTAAGTTTGGCATAACTTATTTTAATTCATATTTTTATCTTATTTAGATTATATTAATTAATTTTTTTTTATTTTTTTATACTTCTTTTTATAAAAAAAATTAAAAAATGTACTTGTTTAGGATAAATTTGATTTTTTGATTTTTTTAATTATTTTTTTGACTATTTAATGTGGGAAGTCATATGATATAAAATGAATTAAAAGTTGACTTTTAATTTTTTTTTAAACTTTAATTTGATTTTTTAACTTTTTTTATTATTATTTTTTTTGACTATTTTATGTGGGAAGTCATATGATATAAAATGAATTAAAAGTTACTTTTAATTTTTTTTTTAAAACTTGTTCTCAAATTGCCCCTGTACAATAATGCTTTCCATATATTTGCAAATATTTTAATCAGTTTATTTCATCTGAATTTCGTTGGGTGAAGACTATTGTATTACCATCTTTATTGAAAAAAATTTAACAGTTAACCTGCCTTGAAAATTTTGGGACTTATATATGTTTGGGAAGATGGTTTTGGCAATTTTAGCCATAAAAGATAAAATAGTTTATTTTTGTAGTAATAAATAAAATATCACATCTAACTCATAATCATTACACTCTTCTCTCACAAAAAAAAATTTAAAAAGTCAAAAAGTCCTTCCTAAACTAAGCTTTTTAGCCCAGGTTAAAATAGCTAAAAAAGTCAAAAAGTCAAAAAGTCAACCCACTTCTCAAACGACGCCTTAATATAATATTTTGATTTTTTAATAATTTTTTGAAAAAATTGGTCTAGGGTCCCTCCCCCACTTTTCGTAATGGAAGAGATCAACGATATTATTTTTTGATGTGTAAGGTCCTTCCCATCTATCACAGAGAAATTCAGCCCCCTTCATTTTCTCTACTCTCACTCATCACCACGATCAAACACGCACACACACAGAGTTCACTGTTCGTGATCGGAAACGCAATCATCATCACTCTGTTTCTGAAATACAGATCGATCATGGAGAGCTGAGATGATCGTCGGAACCCGGCCTGCTTTCCTTCTTCAATGGCGCACTCTAGCAACCTCCCCTGCGACGAAGATGGCATTTGCATGATCTGCAAGAAGAAGTCGGTGGAGGACGAGACCATCACCAAGAGAGTGAGGGAGCTTGTGTGTTGCTGTGTGTGTATCTCTTTTCTTTTTCTTTTTTTTTTTTACACCAACAACCACCAGCATAATCTTGAACCCCGAAAGATGTGAAGAAGAGAGAAGATGCGAACTCTAATGCTGCTTCGTTTTCTTCTTGCTTGGCTCACTCTCTTTTCATCTAGCTCTAGCTCTAGCTCTAGCTCTAGCTCTGGTAATTAAATTCTCAGCTTTATGCATTGTTTGGTTGTTAGAGTCAAAGGTATATATTATGGAAGGCAACATCTCTGGGTTCAACTCTTTGGGTTGATCCAGAGAATTTCTTTGGTTTCAAGCATGGATCTTTTGGCATGTTTAACATTAAAGAAATTTTCCGTAGGTTCCACACATCCAGTAACATTCACTAAATCTTTTGGCAGAATTGAAGAATTTGTAATTCATAATCATATAACCAAGATGCTGCTAGAAAATTCAATCCAACCCAGAGAAATTCTGGGAATTTCCTAGAGAAATTCTTTGTCCAGAGAAATTTTTCTGTGAATTTCCCAGAGAAATTCTGGGTTCAAACCAGAGAAAATTGAAATTTCTCTGAGTACCAAAGAAATCCAGAGAAAATCCAGTCTGAGGAAACTAGAGAATGAATCTGAATCCAGTGTGAGCTATGAAACTTATGTATAGTTGGTATAGATCTTTGATAATGGTCTTTGATAATTGCAAGCTCATCACTGCCTGGTAAGCCCATACAACTTTGTTGTCTTCAATTTTTAGTCTTAGTCCATACAACCTTCTCTTCTTCTTCTTGCTCAATTCTCTATCTCTCATACAAATCCACATAAGTATATACAAAGCAGCTAGCACACCAATAGAGATACCTTTGACCCCAATCTATGTGCTTGCAGTGCTATACTGGGTATATAACTTACAAATTGATCCAACCAAAATTAGCTAACATGGAGATTACCAAATATACTAAAATGCTTTGAAAGTCAACCCCGACCTTTCTCTTGGTAGAAAATATGCATTCTATAATGACGTCTTTAATTTTACATTGTTTACAAAATAACAGAGAATACCTTACCGAAGCATTTATTGGCAATAGAGAGAGAGAATACCTTACAAAATAACAGAGAATACCTTACCGAAGCATTTATTGGCAATAGAGAGATTTTCTCTGCTTAAAGATAATAGATCAATCATCGGGGGATAACCCTCAAGCAGACAAGAATCAACTTAAGAGTATAGTTGGCTTATTAAATAGAACTACAAATAGTAGGTTAGTCCCTCTACTTCACTATAGAAATGGATTTCACCTTAATGTTTGAGGGAGATGCTGATTTTAGTGACTCACATTGGCAGCAAATTGTGTAGAGAAAATTTTTGTAGTTTTGTGTGGTTTTATCCAAAGAAGATTATGCTAGAGAAAATTTGTGTGGCTTTGTGTGACTCTATCCAGAGAAAATTGTGTTAGAGAAAATTTGTGTGACTTTGTGTGGCTCTATCCAAAGAAAATTGTGTAGAGAAAATTTGTGTGGCCTTATGTGGCTCTATCCAGAGAAAATTGTGTAGAGAAAATTTGTGTGGCCTTATGTGGCTCTATCCAGAGAAAATTGTGTAGAGAAAATTTGTGTGGCCTTATGTGGCTCTATCCAGAGAAAATTGTGTAGAGAAAATTTGTGTGGCCTTATGTGGCTCTATCCAGAGAAAATTGTGTAGAGAAAATTTGTGTGGCCTTATGTGGCTCTATCCAGAGAAAATTGTGTAGAGAAAATTTGTGTGGCCTTATGTGGCTCTATCCAGAGAAAATTGTGTAGAGAAAATTTGTGTGGCCTTATGTGGCTCTATCCAGAGAAAATTGTGTAGAGAAAATTTGTGTGGCCTTATGTGGCTCTATCCAGAGAAAATTGTGTAGAGAAAATTTGTGTGGCCTTATGTGGCTCTATCCAGAGAAAATTGTGTAGAGAAAATTTGTGTGGCCTTATGTGGCTCTATCCAGAGAAAATTGTGTAGAGAAAATTTGTGTGGCCTTATGTGGCTCTATCCAGAGAAAATTGTGTAGAGAAAATTTGTGTGGCCTTATGTGGCTCTATCCAGAGAAAATTGTGTAGAGAAAATTTGTGTGGCCTTATGTGGCTCTATCCAGAGAAAATTGTGTAGAGAAAATTTGTGTGGCCTTATGTGGCTCTATCCAGAGAAAATTGTGTAGAGAAAATTTGTGTGGCCTTATGTGGCTCTATCCAGAGAAAATTGTGTAGAGAAAATTTGTGTGGCCTTATGTGGCTCTATCCAGAGAAAATTGTGTAGAGAAAATTTGTGTGGCCTTATGTGGCTCTATCCAGAGAAAATTGTGTAAAGAAAATTTGTGTTTTTGATCAAACCAGACAAAATTGAACAAAAGACAAAAAAAAAAAAAAAAAAAAAAAAAAAAAAAAAAAAAAAAAAAAAAAAAAATTTTTAAAAGTCCACCATGTATGGTGCATATCTGGCGAGTTTAGTGAATTTAGATTCATACTCCGCTACCGACATAGTACCTTGTTTCAACTGTTCAAACTCAGTCGCTTTGCAGTCTCAAACACACTGGGGAAAGTATTTTTCAAAGAAGGACTCCTTAAACTGAGCCCAAGTCATAGCATTTTTGGTGTCACGGACGAGCATCCACCACCATCTAGCCTCTTCTTGTAGAGTAAAGGTAGCCAGTAACACCTTATATGCTTCAGAACACGGAAACACTTCGAATAATTTTTCGGTTTCTAGTACCCATGCTTCGGCCTTTAATGGTTCAAGGCCTCCTTGGAATGATGGGGGTTTCATTTTACTGAACTTCTATGTCAAAGAAATTATATCGTCATTAACATTTGGTTCTGGCTGTACTGGAGGAGGTGGGGGCTGTTGCTTCTGCTGTTGCCTTAGGGCCTCGGTCAACAATTCTATTGTTCTTTCCAACCTTTCCATTCTTGCCTCAGATGATTCAGATTCATCGGCATTTCTTGCGTTGTCCATTTCACTATAGGCAATATGGTAATAATAAACACAGGAAGTTGCTTACTTAAACACATTAGCACATTAGCACATATATTCATATCATGGCCACACACACTTTCTCATGCTCATGCAATGCCCTAATTACTTTTCTAGAACATCCTATAGCTCATTTCGACACGTGTGTGCAGTATAACTCGTGGTTGATATCGCTCTGATACCACTCTGTCAGAACCCAAACCCGCCCCTATGGGTTTAACATCGTAACCGGCCAGTAATCCGTGATTACCAAAGGCTTGCTTAACAGTGATGACAATAATACAGAGTAAGGGGCTGGCGGAAGCCAAACAGTAAATAAAAGATATCCAATGAGCTGTGAAAATCTGAATGAGAAAAGACAATTCATATATATATATATATATATATACATATTTGATATATATATATATATATATTTGATTCAATTCTCTGTTGTTGTTTTTTTTTATTTATTATTCAATCAAACATATATATATAAATACATAAAGGTATATATATGTAAGATATTTATGTATATATAGGTGTGTGATAAATATATGTTTGATATATATATATTGATTCAACTCTTCTTCTTTTTTTTTAATTCTCTGTTTTTTTTTTTATTCAATCAAACACACACACACACATACACACACACACACACACATATATATATGTATATATATATTACATAAATGACTAAACCCACCACACAAATCTGTTAAACAACTTACCCCCTTTCTCTCCTTATCTTTCTCATACTCCTCTTCTTTTTCTTTTTTTTGATCCCAATCCATATTGCAACCAACTGCCACAAACCCAGATTATGACCCAACAATGTTTCCATCACTGCTTCTATCACTGTCCACCACCACTCTCAAAACCATAGATCTAGGATTAGGGTTTTGAAAGAAGAAGAAGAAGAGGAGGGAGAGAAGAAAAGTGGGCGACGAACGGCGGAGGAGAGGGAGTGGAGGAAGGAGAATAAGGAAAGGCGGAGGTGGAGGATAGAAAATGACAGACGACGACAAGGAGAAGAGAAGGAAGATGCCACAATGGCGCCGGCGAGGAGGAGCTTTTCTCTCTCGTTTTGATCTGACGAGAGAGAACAAAAACGAAAAACAAATTAAAAAAAAAAAAGTTGAATATGGTGAAGAGATAGTTAACAATTAAGGGTATTTTTGTCTTTTCGCGCTTAAATAATAGGAAAGTAACGTTGTTTGTGCAAAATTGACGGTTTGGGAGAATCTTGACATTGTCAGGTAAAGTAGAAAATATTACTGTAATTATTCAAACCACATGAGAGGTTCCTGTATTTGTCAAAAACCTGAAGGGAGGTAAATGTAGTTTACCCTAATAATAATAAATAAAAGAACAAGGCCAAAGCTGCCTTCCCACGACTCCCCCCATTGTCTTGTCACCATCATCGTCGACTTGATATGGACCGAAGGGCAGCCGAGGTCCTCTCCTCTTTAACTGGTCCCTGGGCAGCATATTCGGCCAATGATGTTCCCTCGAAATCTGTCCAGAGTTCATTTATTCTCATCAATCTTCAATTTCCATTGTCCACCGACGAACCCTACTCTGACGATGGCCCCACTGTCTCTGTTCTTCTTCTTCGCGATCGTTCGGGCCCAGGTGACGATCCCGGCCAGGTTGGACGGGTTCGTGTACAAGAATGGCTCGTTCAGTGTCGATTCGATCATGATTGAGGCCTTCTTTGACCCCGTCTGCCCAGACAGCAGGGACGCTTGGCCTCCTCTCAAGCAGATCCTCCATCACTATGGTGATCGTCTCTCCCTCATCGTTCACCCCTTCGCTTTACCGTGAGTACTTCCATTCCTGTTCAGTCTCAATTTCCCTCCGTTTGTTTGCTAAGAAAATCCGACGAGAAAATTATTACAGGACTAAAATTTGTCAATTACTCTACTTCCTATCGTAAAAGAAATTACTCGATTACTTACCACACATATTTTTCTGTCCCTCCTGCCCAGTAGTGTTTAGTTCAATTATTATGATAAACTATTTAATTTATTCTTATGCTCAATTTGTTTGGGTGAAATTTTTTTTGTAGAGAAAATATTTTTCTATGTTTGTGGTGGTGGTAGTTTGATGACATGGGTAGAATCTTAGGCTGTGTTTGGCGTAGAGTTTTAATCCTGACTCATACACATATTTGAGTATCGGGTTTGGTTACAACTTAAAAAAATTAATTATACACCACTTGTGAAAACTCGTTTAAGCAAGATTTGAATTTTGAAATTTGGCCTATCTGGTCGTCCTCCCACACGTTTGGCTGGTTGATTGAAACAGTGCAATTTTTTTTGGGCAATTGTCACATGTTATTTTTTTATATATTAAATAAAAAATATTTTCTAAATTTTTAAAAATATTTTATGAGCTTTGAATAGAATTTTGGGTTATGTGTTTGGTTATGAGTTATAAGTTTTTAAATTAAATATCATATGTCACATTAATTATTCTAAACTCATTTCAAACTTATAACCAAACAAATTTTATACACTCAAATGATAATTTTAAAACTCACAAACTCAAAATATAACTCTATTCTCAAACCATAATTCTAAAACTCTACTAAAAGTAACCTTAGTTCGAGAAATGTTTTCTGCCCTTTAAAATGTCGAAAACATTTTCTATCCCCACATAGTAAGAATGACAACGGGCCGGGGCGGGGCCGGGGATCACCCTCTCCGTCCCTGATCCTCGAAACTATCATGTTCCCCGGCCCCGATCCCCGGCGGAGAATCCATCAACCCCCCCAGCCCCGCTCCCTACGGGGATCGGGTTTCCCCGACCTCGGTTTATCCTCGTACTCATCATCAACATCATTTACAATCAGCAACATCAGCAAAAAAAAATAATTCAAAAATCATCAACATAAACATCATCAACGGCAGCAAGCAACATCACCAAAAAAAAAAAAAAAAAAAAAATTCATCAACACATCATCAAAAAAAAAAAAAGAAAAAAAAAAGATAGAGACAGATCTGGCGGAGGAGGGACGAAGTCGGCGGTGGCGGTGGCGGGATCTTCTCAGATCTGCCGTGGCAGAGAGAGGAGGAGGCAGAGGAGAAGAGGAGGAGACGAGAGGCAACGTCGATGGAGGAGGAGGCGAGAGGCGACGGAGCCGACGGAGGACGAGGCCGCGAGAGACGACGGAGGAGGAGGAGGCGGCGGTGGCCTGGAGGAGGAGGAGGAGGAGGAGGAGGAGGACAAGGCGGCGAGAGGAAGAGGTGCCGATTGCAGAGGGAAGAAAGAGAGTGAGAGAGAGAGATTAGAGAGTGAGAGTGAGGGTGAGGGTGAGAGTGAGAGAGATAGATCAGGAGGGTTATGTTATATATATATATGAATATGATAGGGGGCATTATGGTAATTTTATTTCGGGGGAAAAACGGGGCCGGGGACAGGGCTATGAAAGTGATCCCCGTCCCCGGCCCGAAACTGATCGGGGATTTAATTTCAAATGCCATCCCCGGCCCGTCGGGGGTATTTTTCGGGAAAAAACCGCTCTTATTGAGGACGGGGGGTCGGGTCCCCGTCGGGCCGGGTTTAAATTGCCATCCCTACCACATAGGCTTATTTTTCATTGACTTGAAAGACGGTTCCATGTCTTACAATGTTCAAGCAGCATTCTTGTCAGAAGGATTTTTTCGGAGGCCTGGACACCTACCGAACATCCCTGAAGGATGGAACAACATGACTAAGAAGGCAGGGAAGGAATGGAGGAAAATTTGGGAAGAGAACAAGGGAATCTCTGAAAAGGGGGAGGCATGGAAGTAGTAGAAATGTTGAAGAAGATAGAACTTCCTCTTGGACTTGAGACTATGCGCGTCGCGTACTCGATCTAGCAATCTTGGACAATTGTGTTTGATGAACTGTCACTTTTGCATTATACCAAACACCAGAAATATGAAAAACATTTTTCAAAAAATATTTTCTTGTCCAAACAAACGGAGTGTTAGTATCTATTTACTTTTCAAACCCAAGAGATCTGCCTCAGGAACCAGGGGAAAAAACTTGATACTGTTGACTAGTTGCTGAAGTTGACAGTTATGTTCTTAGCAGGATAACCAGAGGTTGAAATCCTAATTATTTGTTGCTATATTTGGGTATAGAATTTGTTAAGGAAAAGGGAAAGGAAGAGGAATTACTTGTACTCTGTTATCTTATTAATGGGTAGCCAAACGAAAAAAAATATGAATATTTTTGAGTCATGTCTATTCATTTTCTTATCCGAACCAAGCAAGAGTAAAGATTTTAACTGCAATGTTCTAAATCAGTATTTGAGTGTTGTATATATTCATCATTTTAGAGAATGGTTAATAATTTGCTTTTGGAAATTGCAGTTACCATGACAATGCTTTCGTTTCTTCTCGTGCTTTGCATATTGTAAATAAGCTGAAAATTTCTGCCACATATGACTTGTTGGAGTTGTTCTTTAAGCACCAGGTAAGAACTCTTTCAAAATTGTTAAGAAAGAAATATTCATCTAAATTGCAAAATTTCCTATCAAAACATTTACTAAATTCGGAACTAACTGTCCACTTAAATTGTGCGTTTGGCTGCTATCTTGCTGGGCTTTTTACAGTTGTTATTCATTGTGACTTTATTGAATTTATCAACGCTTTACTGCGTTTGGTGCTAATTCCATTGCTGTTGTTTTGAAAATTTGTCAGCTGATGTCTTGGTTCTTAGAACTTTTCTCTACCCAGCTACTCTGAATTACAAAGATTTTCTTTGTTGTTGCTTTAATATCCCAACTCCCAAGGGCACTCAGCCTCCGTTTGGGAAGTGGGTTGTCTTTTTGGCTTTTTGATTTTTTTGGCTATTTTAGTCTGAGCTAAAAAGTTTGGTTTGGGAAGGGCTTTTTGGCTTTTTTAGTTTTTTTTGTGAGAGAAGAATGTAATGATTATGGGTTTGATGTGATATTTTGTTTTTTGTGGCTAAAATAGCCTATTTTGTCTTTTGTGACTAAAATAGCCAAAAAAGCCCGTTTAGCTCTTGCCAAACGGAGCCTCACAGTATTTGCAGTTAACTGTTGCATGTTTTCCTTTCTTTACTTCTTATCCTTTGTGCTAAAGGTATGGTTGATCATCCTCAAAAATCTGATTTGCATGCGATGTCTAATGGTATTGACACCCTGTAGATTAACCTCTCATTAAGAACATGTTTGCCTTGACTTTCTCTTATCAATTAGTATTTGGGTGTTTGATTGCCTTTAGATAAGAAGCTCGTTAAGTTAAATTTGACAGTGTGGTTCTTGAAATATAGCTTCATTTGTTTCACAACATAAGAAGGATTCTATTGTTGATTCAGACTTTATTGCCTTGCATTCACAGCATCCTCCCTCATTTACAGCATCCCCCGTCTTCCAGAAGTATATACACACTTCTAATATGCAACCACTACAAAAAAAAAAGAAAAAAGAAGGGTTTTCCCCCTTGTTTTCTGAATCTTGGAAAAAGTGAAAAAATGCTGGCGAAAGTGTTTCTGGCATTTTTTGAAAACTCAACAAGAACTATTAGACGAATTGCAAATTTAGCATGTCCATTGCATGTATTGTGCATTGTAACCGAGGAAATGATCGCATGGCTGTGAATCATTTGTATAGTTTGGTCCATTACTTCATGGTTATTGGAGTTCTCATACTACCAACTTGGTGGATTATTCAATAGGAGGAGTTTTACAACCAACCAACCTTCAACATGTCTAAGGCGTCTATTGTAAGTCGCATTGTGAACATGGCAACAGAAGCAGCTGGTAACTCCTACTATTCTGCAATTGCAGCTGGCTTTACTGACAGGAATACCGATCTCATGACAAGGGTTTCGTTCAAGGTAGGTTGAGTGTTTGTTACTAAAGAGTCTATAGGTTTATAGGTTGTTGCAACTTGGAATTTCCCATTTATTTATCTTCCAGAACAATTTTTTTCTGTTGTTTTTAGTCATCTTTCCCATCAAACAGCAGTTCTGTGCCTAAATTCTCAATGACAAAAGTTTTGTTTTACCATTGATTTCATTTCCTGTCCATAAATTTTAATTTGTATTATTTCATCCTTAAATTTCATGCATTAATCCAATTTGATCCCTTTCCCAAACTGTTGTCTAAAGAACATATGGCAAATGCTTATGCCATCCTCACATAAGGGCATTAAGAGGAATTTATCCAATTTCTCATCTAATTGAACCGTGAGACACATGTAATGCACATTATTTACAAAACAACATCAAAACCTTTCGTTTCATTACTGAGCCAAATACATAATGTGTTTGGCTCTTTGATTGATAGTATTTGCTATAAAATAGAGGGGTTAAACATGTCCCTTTTGCCATTCAATGCTCGATGTGAGGCTGAGGCAAGTTTTGTTCATATGTTTCTTAGATGACAGTGAGGGCAAGGGACCAAAATTAGATTAATGCGTTAAATTTAAGGATGCAATTCATACAAATTAAAAAATAGAGACCAAAATGAAATCACTAGTATACCTTAGAGACCATTCGTGTAAGTCATCTTTTTTTTTTAAAACATCATCTCTAATTTGGCCAATTCTTTTTTGATGTTTGTTTTTGTGCAGTATGGTTGTTCAAGAGGGGTGTTTGGGACCCCTATTTTCTTTGTGAATGGATTTCCATTGCCTAATGGTGGCTCGGCCATTGACTACAAAACATGGAGAAGCATGATCGATCCATTAGTTAACCAACTAGGCATGAAGTAGGAGGAACTTGTACATTTCTTCTAATGAAGGACGCTTGATTTCTATATTCAAATAAACTTGTACACTATGTTTGGTTGGGGAATTTGAGGAGAGATTTGAAAAAAGAATGGAAAAATATATGTGAAATTTGGTGAAATATAGGTATATTTTATTCATATTTCACCTACATTTTTCATTTCTTTTTCCAACTCTCTCTTCAAATCCCTCTACCAAACACAGCAGTAAAGAATTGAATCTCCTGAAACTCAGTCTCTTATTTCCTTTCCATTTATTTGCTTTCGCTTGTAGGAATGATATAAACAAAATATAAAGGAGCTATGCAGAATGCAATTGTTGAAAGAATTGATAGCATTTGACTAGCCATGGTAGCGAATGAATAAATTTTTGAGGAACTTTGGCGTGGAAGCTGTTGTTTTACAGTTAGGGCAGGCAAGGTTGCATGCAGAGACCGATCTAGGATTATATTTTTTGGGAGGGGCTTACTTTATAGTTTAAAAAATTGGGGGTTACTCTCTATAATTTTGAAATTATCTATAAAAAATTTGAGGGTGCGAACTTTTATAATTTTAAATTATTTTAAAATTTCTAATAAAATATATGATATTTTTCAAATTTTTGGAGGTGCGGCTGGCCCTAGATCCATCATTGGTTGCGTGGCAAGTTTGATGGTTATTTTTTTATTTTTTTTAATGTTTGTGCCTCTTTGTAAGGGTGTGCGTGGTGCGGGTCGGTGCGGTTTGAGAGAAAAATAGAAATCTTATGGCGGGTGACGGATTGATAAAAGTGTCACTAGAATTTGTCATTTTCTTTATCAAAAATCGACGGTTCGGTTGGCAAATAATAGTGGATTTGCCTTGGCGGTTCGGGCAGATTGGCGATTTATAAAAAAATATAATTCAAATTACAAAACTTAAATCAAAGAAAAAAAAAAAGATGAGAGATATCGTGATGTTAAAAATCATGCGAAGTTTTTTTTTGATGCAGCAAGTGTAGCAACAATATGATAATATCAACGACTATGCGATCAGTTCATTACAAGCATATGTTGAAACTACAATGATCAAATACAATACATAAAATTAATATCATTCAGGATTTACAATATATTGAAAATGTTTAATGTTGAAAAATATTTAGATTGAAAAGTGAGCTGATGTAAGTTTGCAACATGGTCAAAAAAAAAAAAAAAAGATTGAAAAGTGAATTGGGATCCAATTTTATTTTAGATTACTGACATCTTGAATTCCCCTTAAGTAGTAATGTAATACTATATTCTAAGGTATAGAACAACAAACAAACTTAAGTAAAAAAGAATTTTTAAAATCTTATAAAACATGATTTAATAGCGGTGCGGGTCGGTGCGGTTTTGAAGAAAAATAAAAACCGGCGGATTGATAAAAGTGTCATTAGAATTTGTCATTTTTCTTACCAAAAATCGGCGATTCGATTGACAAATAATAATGAATTTGCCTTAACGGTACGGTTCGGTACGATTTCAACGATTTCGACAGTATTATACACACCCCTACCTCTTTGCATGTGTTCGTTCAATCTCGGCTTGCGCCATTCAAAATGGTTACCAAATTTTAACTATTGTCTGATGTGTTACTAATTAGTTTAGTGAGTCTCACTTTGGCTTCGTTTGGGAAGCCATGGTTTGGGCTTTTTTAGCTATTTTAGCCACAAAAAATAAAATAGGCTATTTTAATCATAACAAACAAAACATCACATCTAACCCATAATCATTACATTCCTCTCTCACAAAAAAACTCAAAAAAGCCAAAAAATCAAAAAGTCCTTCCTAAACCAAACTTTTAAGCCCAGCCTAAAATAGCCAAAAAAATTAAAAAGCCAAAAAGTCAACCCACTTCCCAAACGGAGGCTTTATCTCTAACAAATCAAATGGTATTCATAATTCAATACCAAAATTACCATTCTCTTTACTGTTCCAAATTATTCCTAAATGTTCTGCTCAAATGTATTTTTTCTTAAAATGATTATCGACACTTTTGGCACCTGCTTATAATCTAATTTATTTATATATTTTCATCTTTAGAAATTTTTTAAAAATATTATGTTATTATTTTTTAGGTCTGATTTAATTAGACAATTTAGGCCTCGTTTGGGAACAGATTAATTTAGTAATTTTTTGACTATTTGGCTAAAATATAAACTAAAAAAAATTAATATATTTGGGATGACTTTTTGACTTTTTACAAAAAGATGTGCAAAAAGTAGTGAGAAAAGAAAAATTTTAACTTTTTAATATGAGTTATTGACTTTTTAACTAATTTAATAACTTTTTTTTTTATTTTTTGACTAAAAAATTCAGTTGCCAAGCGAAGCCTTACCCCCAAAAATAAAATTTAACAAAAAAAAACAATAAAAGTTGGTTTAATTGTGACTTTCTAGACAAGTTAATTTATGAGACTCAACACGCTTATGTATTTTTTTATTTATTTATTTATTTTTTTTTTGGTTTGATTTGATGAGTCCGGATCCTCTCCTTGAGGAGGGTCCTTGAGTTCATGCGGGCAACGGCCACGATCTGTGGAAACAGATCCAACGGCTCTAATAAAAAAAAAAAAATTGAAAATGTAATGTTTTCGACTTCCCGCCCAAACGGTATATGCACACAGCTCTGTTCCCACCATTCCATTCCAGCACAGACCTTCTCCATTTCCACGCAGCCCCCTTCTCCTCACTCACCCCTACCCTCACCGGCGAACCCACGGCCAACGGCGACCCCCGACGGCGACCCACTCCTCAGTGAGTTCTTCTTCTTATGCTCTCTCTCTCTGTCTGTGTTTGCTGTCCCTTTCCCAATATTGATATAATATCCTGCAGTAATAAGAATGAGTTGGGCCTTGGATGAAATTGGTGTCCATTGTGTTGAAATTTGGCTGTCAGTTGATGAATTTTATTGTTATCCATTTGTATTTATAGTTTTGTACTATAATGGATTGTTGTCCAGTTGATTATAATTTAATTTAGCGTGAAATTGAGTCCTTTAATAAATTGTTTAACGTGATACTTCTGGCAGAGTTGAGTTTTTTGATAATAGTGTTAAATTTCCAATAGGAATTATCCACTGCTGCACAAACCAAACTTAATATGGTGAACTAAAATGATGGAACATTATTCAGTGTCAGAATGTCTGAAATCTTTCTGTTGGGGAAAATGTATGAACTTAACAGATTCCTGGAGGGCACTAATTTAACATGCAACTGATGATTTGGCTAACCCCATTTTTTTTTACTTGGCCTTTTTCGTGATTCCATATCACATACCGACCTTTAGCCTGAAAGATATATGACACTCATATTTCCATCCCATTAATCTAATGTCTTTACCTCGGTCATCTCTGGAAAACAAGATTTTATGAAAACTCTTTTGAGGTTGGGTTTGTGGATATTTTTATTGACTTTGACATATCATAGACCTTGTTACCAGTAATCATGCACTAAGTTGCTGGACGCTTTTAGTAAACTAGAGGGAAAATATTGACCTTTTTGTTATTTTATTTTATTTTATTTGGAAACTATAGACTTCATTTATCTTGGATTTTCAAGAGATTTTAGAATTTAGATACTGCAAGTGACTAGGTTGAAGAACCAAAGCTGGCATTCTAATATAAAGTAAACATAAAAGACAAGCTTAAGATGACTCATCAACGAATAGGAAACTTATGGAACTATACTTGGGTCTACAGATATGGTGTAATTGATTTTGGGCATGATTGGCCTATGGTATTTAGTTTCAAACTCACAACACTACATGCTTAAGGGATTGAATGTGCAATGGCATTAAATATATCTATCTTTGGGCTTTAATTGCTGCTGTATCAATAATAATGTCTACCATTGCTTTGTATTCACAATTGATCACCCCCATTGGGTGCTTGTGTCCAACATGGCTGACTGTTACCACCCCTACTATGGCGGTAACTACTGGTACTGCCACAATTATTAACTGGTGTGTAGATATGTTATATTGAATCTCATGAATAATTTTTGACCCATTAGACTGCTAGTTATGAATAACTAAAATGTCTTATGCAGAGTAAAATTTGTGATTTTTCACATTTGTCTTATGCAGAGTAAATAAAAAAAACAATTTCACATTTGTTTTGATTTTTCATTAATTATGTGTCTTATGCAATGCTTTTCTGGTATTGGGCTCTTAGTTATTTGTCAAACTACATTTCTTATCAATCAATTGGTTAGTGGATTATTGGAGGTTATTGTCAATATATTTATCATTAAAAACAAATTTTGGCCCTTAATCAAAATGTGCTCTATGAGAGACTTGACAAAATCTTTATTCTAACCTTCTAGAGTGGAGTTGAGTGTATTGACTCTATATACTTTTAAAATCTAGATTCTAGTACTCTTTATTTGGAAATAATGAATTTATCATGTGCCTATTTTTTATTGTGAAATCATAATTCTAATACTCTTATTTGAGATTGTTAGTTCCACACATAATAAAAGAAAATATGGACATAAGGATTGTCAAAAATCCAGATTGCAGCTTGCAGCTCTCAACATGACTTGCACCTTGCAGATTGTTAGTTCAACATATTTGTAGTGAAATATGTAGAAAATGTATATAAACAAATAGGTATACCATGATATGACAAATGATCTCAAATAGGTATATAAACAAATGTATATAAACAAATGATATGACATTGCTAATTTTTCTCACAATGTATTCGAAATCATGGTATATCATGGTATATAAATTAGTAAGACATATTAGCAATGCTGGGTTTGGAGTATATAAATCATGGTATACCTATTTCATGGTATATAAATCACATAGTATACAATGGAAGGTCTTACCATTGATATCATACAATACCATGGTATATAAAAATTAGCAATGTTTGGAGTATATAAATCATGGTATACCTATTTCATGGTATATAAATCACATAGTATACAATGGAAGGTCTTACCATTGATATCATACAATACCATGGTATATAAAAATTAGCAATGTTTGGAGTATATAAATCATGGTATACCTATTTCATGGTATATAAATCACATAGTATACAATGGAAGGTCTTACCATTGATATCATACAATACCATGGTATATAAAAATTAGCAATGTTTGGAGTATATAAATCATGGTATACCTATTTCATGGTATATAAATCACATAGTATACAATGGAAGGTCTTACCATTGATATCATACAATACCATGGTATATAAAAATTAGCAATGTTTGGAGTATATAAATCATGGTATACCTATTTCATGGTATATAAATCACATAGTATACAATGGAAGGTCTTACCATTGATATCATACAATACCATGGTATATAAAAATTAGCAATGTTTGGAGTATATAAATCATGGTATACCTATTTCATGGT